GGGCTTATTTCTCATCCTCTTATTTGCTCCTAAATTCTACCTGCCTCTTTTTCAATCATGGTAAAAACCCTTAACAGGAGATCTACCCTCTTAAAAAATATTTAAGTGCACAATACTGTGTACTACAGGCACCAGCAGATCTCTCGACCTTACGCATCCCGCGTAACCGAAGCTTCACAGCCATTGGACAAGTAAGTCCCCAGCTCCCCGCCTCCCTCAGCCACCGTTCAGCTCTGTTCTTCGAACTTATGGGACAGATGGTGGGGGCGCGGTGAGGGCGGCTCCATCCAGCATGCGCGGGGTGACATGGCTTCTGGGAGACACCAGGGACACGCCGGTGTCTGTCCTTTCTCTCATGGAGAAGGAAGACATCTACTGTGTCCGTTCCAGGAACGGTCGTTTGCAGTCAGGATCCCCACACGGGAAAGCCCGCGCCAAGTCGGGCAGCTCTTATTGTCCAGGTGGAGGGTGGTGACAGGAAGGACGCCATCAAACAGAGAAACGCCAGTCTACTAACCCTTGCGCATCTGTGGGGTGTGGCTGAGGGCAAGGATGTTGTAGAGGTGGTTTCCAAAGACCTAAAACTAAACAAAGAAAGCCTTTCGAATCTGCTGTGAATAACAAGTAGCATGCAGTTGAGTGCATATGCTGCCCGAGGGAAAAGCTCAGAATTTTAAAAAACATATTAGATTTAACCAGAAATGTTTGAAAAGCAAATATTCCTAGAAGGTTTGCTTATTATGTAAATATTCGGCTAAGGTTTATCTTTATCTACATTCATCGGTCTTGTATTTAACATAATATCTCACTTTTAACGCAAACAGAAGAAAATCTGCCCTTGTAGGTAATGGTTTGATTGACCGGGTAAAAAGTTTTTTGATGTAATCAAATGCATAGAGAGCAAACCTATGAGCTCTGGAGTCAGAGAGCTGGGCTTTAAATCCTGACGACGTAACTCACCAGCTGCGGGGGCTGAGCAAGTTTCTTCATGTCGCTCAACCTCAGTTACTTTTCCCTCAAACAGGTCCTCACAGGATCGCTGCGGAAGCTGAATTTATAATGCACGTCCTGCTCAGCACAGCGCGACAGTAGGGTTGATAGGCGTTGGAATAAGCCCATGGGGTAGTGTCCATAATAAAGCCTCGTCAGGTACAACAACTGGCCCATAAAAGGTGGTCTATAAATGGACATGATCAGGCTGGTTACATCTAGGGTTGTTTTGGTTGACAAAAAAAAAAAAAAAGGATCGCCAGGGTAAGACAAATATTTGAGAATTTCAAAATGGAGACAGTATAGAGGAGGGATTCTTCCAGGTACATTCAGTGGACATTTGTCGAAGGTTAGTGCCAGCTGGAAGATGGTGACATCGAGTACAGAGGTTAGAGCTCTGGCTGGACTCAGTCTGCTTGAGTTAGAACCCAGCCACCAGCTTTCTTAGCTCCGTGACCTTGAGCTGATCACCTATCTATTCAGTGTCTCAGGATCCTCATTTATAAGATGGGATCATTGTTTCCTCTTCAGATGTTTGTCGTGATGATTAAATGAGATGACCTACCCGGAACCGCTTTATTGGTGAACTGGACTGGGCAGGGTGCTAGGAAAATGCAGCTTACTTCTTTCATTCCAATGCCCTTCCAAAGCCACTCTGCTGCATCTTCCTCCCTCCCCATCCCCTAAACCAAATCCCCTCAACTAAATGCTCCCCAGTCACTTTCATGTATTAGCGAAGACATTTTCAGACACGAAAAAGCCTAGAATCCTTCTAAATCAGAACATCGGTCTCTCTTTTGATCGAAAGTTTCTCCATCCACCACAGCTGGGGTTTGGTTCGGACTCACTACCCCACAGGGGCAGGAAGTGGAGGTGGGCTTCCTTCCCATTCACCCAGCTTCTCTTCCTCTCCTCCCCACAGCCCGCGCCCTGTGGGGTCAGGGAAGAACAGAGTCGCACCTGACCTGACTGGTGCGGTGGAGATCTAGTAGCCCATATGGAGGTACCAAACGTTAACTTCTCTTCGTGGGGTGCTCTTGTGGGTTCCTTGGAGACTCCACACCCTCACTGGGCATGATGCAGTGGACAGGGCACATTTCCCCAAGTCACGGGGAAACCAAGCTCTGCACCGAAAGAAGAGGGGCCTTTGGCGGAGAGTGAGGAAAGAATTCAACACACACGCCGAAGTTTATTAGAAAAGAGGTCACACTCCGCAGACAGAGTGGTCTCCTCTCAGAAGCAGAGAGTCCGAAGTTTATTAGAAAAGAGGTCACACTCCGCAGAAGCAGAGAGGTGAGCAGGACCAAGAGAAGATTGGAAAGACAGTGAGCAGAGCGGGGTGAGCGTTCAGGGAATTCAGTATGCATGTCATTCTTTAGTTCCCATGAGTTATTGTTTAAAAGACTTTGTTAACCCATTGCCTTTGACATGGACATACAGTGAGGAAGGGGGAGGGTGGGTAGCATGAAAAGGTAAGAATATGTCCAGTGAAAGGCCTGCTGGCCGTTCCCAGCCTTTAATCCTTAGGTTCCCCACAGTTTTAGCCATAGGGAATGACTCTTGGCTCCTGCTTCCCCTTCACAGGTGTGCAGAATGGGCTGCTAGAAATCCCAGCAGAAATCTTCTTTTGTTCTGCAGGTGTCCTCCTGGCCTGGCTACAGGGCTGATCAGCACATTGCAGTCTCTGAATGTGGCTTGATTATCATTTTTAATTCTCTTGCCTCCTTCCCAAATAAGCAGACCTTTTGAGCAGTCTCAAAACAACCAAGACTGGCTGTCTGGGGCATCTCCGCATCTCGCTGTAGTGACAGCAAGCAGGTACCCGCTTCACTCCCTCTCCAGCCCGTCCCCCTTGCTCTGCCTTAGAGAGACCCCTCCAGCCAGCATCTGTCCCGTAGGTAGAGTCTCAGGTTTACCAACCACCACACTATTAGCCTTGTGTGATCATTCCTTGCTATGAGGTCTGTCCAGGAGATTGTAAGGTGTTGAGCAGAATTCTCGTCCTTCACCCGCTAGATGGCAGTAGTATCCCTCCCCCTGGCTGAAAACCCTTTGGATTAAACTACCTCAGGCAAGAGTTAATAAAATATCTCAGTGCTTTCTAAATTCCAGGAGACACTTTAGGATCCATGAACATTTGGCTTAAGAGGCACTGATCTCTCCCCTCTAAATATTCACCAAGCTTTTTCACAGTCATCTCCTACTTTCTATTTCATAGCCTAGAGAAGGGGATAATGAGCCGAAAGTGGGAAAACCTGGTTTTTGGGGCTACCCTCAGCAATTGCGCACAAATGGTCTTTTCTTTTTAGAATGTGTCATTTTTTGTACTCAACATTTATTCTTTTTGAGCATGCCATAGGGAAGGAAAGGGGCTGTGAATATTAGGTTCGGAGACACCATAAGTACTTTCAAACAAATGAACATGACATTGAGAAAATGTACTTAATGAGAAAAGAATATATTTTAAGCACAGATAGCTTACTCGATAAAATTACACATCGAGGCAGGAGAGAGGTTTCATGTCCTCCCGCAAGGCCTCTCATTTTCCAATGCACTTGTATGGAGCTACAAGTCCTTCTAGAAGTCACTGCCCTGATGTTTCCCACCTCAGGACGAAGGGAGGGGGAGGGGGGAGGAGGGGCAGTGGACAGGCAGGAAGAAAGGAAAACGAAGGAATAAGGGTGATAATTATTCTCATTCCTTCCCAGTCTACATCAGTCCCCTAAAAGAAGTTACGTATAGCAATGCTTTTGTAAATAGACGGCTTGGTTCTATTTCAAAATAGTAAATCTAACTTTACAGGTAAACATGCAAGGATGTGGTTCCACAGTGTAGTGGTTAGCACGTCTGCTTTATATGCAGAAAGTCCTGGGTTCACACCCCAGTGAAGCCACAGTCCATGGCCTACGGCCATGCCACGCCGAACAAACCTGATGTCTGTTCTCAGAAGCTAAGTAGGGTCAGGCCTGGTTAGTACTTGGATGGGAGACCATCTAGGGAGACCAGGTGCCATAGGCATAAATAATTAAAAAAATAATAATACAAGATGTGTAGTTGAATAATGTTTTATTGTCAATAGCATAAAAGAAATTGAGTATTGATCCTTCGGAGCGAGAAGAAAGTTGAACCTATTTACAAGGAAGGCCAGGGAGGAGACTGCCACAGAATCTTCAGTAAATGCTCTTTCGATAGTGAACTAATATGTGAATTTGCAACACAGATAACTTAATCAGGTCAACTTGAAAAATTGCTATTAATGTAAGTTACTGACTAGCTAGCTATCCACAGTAACTGAACCCGCAGACTGTCAAGGCGGCACTTCAGTAGCTCTAGGCATATTTCCTGAAGGCCTAAGTTCCTTCCCCTTCCCCTTTATCACATTAGACGGAGACAGTTTCTTTCCACACTCTTTTGTTTGGTCGGCTAAGGTGAGGGTCCCTGTGCATTTTAAGTCCCCGGTGGTCAGTTGAGTCAGTTAGAAGCCCCTGCCAGCGGTCCCTCACCAATCAGGTGACCAGGCGGGCATCGTATCGAAAGGGGAAGTGAACTTGTAACGAGATCTGAGCTTTGCTCTGAAGGGGCTGCACTCCAGCTACTCCTTGGGTCTGCAGTTCCTTATCCAACGTCCCCAAATCTCACAAAGTTCTGAAAACGAAGCTTGTTTGTAAGCTGGTAGCGTACGCATTTGTCAGCAAAACCTGACAGTTGTGGGCTACTTAGAGCCTTTAACCATTTTGCGTCAATATTGTACATTTGGTGGCAGAAATATTAAGGTATCAATTAATAGGCTGTTGTTTCAGACTGAATCCATCATATGAAGTTTGTGCAACATATTATCTTTCTAAAAACCCCCCAAATCAGATTTTTTTGTCCCACGGGGTTCAGCATGAGGCGCTGTGGACCTAGAGTGGCATGAACGTGTGCCCAAGTTTGGCTGGAGCCAGGAAAGTTTGTGGATCTCTCACATTTCTTTAGTATTTTAGGGATGTGAGAACGTCTGGAACATTCTGTGTCCCGGTGAAGGGAGGCAAAGTCCTGGGAATAAAATCCTCCAGATCCTCCTCATAGGAATTTCTTTTGTGAAAAACTGTATTCCTTCCCATAACCCGAGATAGTTTGACAAATAATGAATACATAATTCTCCTCTGAAGTGATTCCTTTTCATTCAAAGCATTGTCTTTTATGGGGTAGGACGGGGGAATAAAAGAAAAAGTGGGAAAAGAAGAGCCTATTAGCATGAAGGTTACATATGACAAATACCAGGAGGTTCCTCATCCAGCAGTATTGATAATTAATTTATCATATTTAGAAAGTGATTCTCTGGGTGCAGAGTTTACAGAGAAGTCGGGTGGGACTTAACTGGGCTCTGCCACTTAAGGAGAACAGAACTTGCCAAAGAAAATGATGTTTCGAGTTTTGTTGTGCCTGATGATGTAAATAAATGGGTGGTCGGCAGTGAATTCATCTTTGTGCTGTAGGATGCGTGATCCTGGCACCTCTATGGACTCCCCACCATCTTCGGTTATTTCTAAGCACACTCTGTGAATAACATTTGAGAGGGCCACTCCCTTGGTCTCTGACATCCCAGAGAAATCAGATGTATCCTCATTAAAGACATTTTTCAGCCCTAGGTTTTCCAGACTAGCCTTGGGATCGATCACCTTTTCCACCTTGAATTTTGGAATGGAGAGTTTGACTTTGGCATTGGCCATGGTGCTGGGATTGGTCCACTGTAAGAGCGTCTCTGAGTTGAGTTGTTTTTCAACCTGAAAGACAAAAAAAGGAGGAAATTATCATTATTTTTTTTATTCTTAAGTGTGAAAAACCCTGCTTGAACTAAAACAGAAAGTGTCATGGTTGAGCTCAGTTTCGAAGCAGTACAGAGGGACCATCAAAAATGGAATCAGTCTTGCAGTTTGGGGGTGCAACTAGTTTCTCTGATAAAAGGTCCACCCCCTAGCGTTGATTGATCCCTTCCTCCTCACCCCACAACGATGGTCCCTTTGCCCTGAAATTTATGAGGGCGTTTCTTTTAAGGTATAGAGTCGCTTTAGAGAAATAAATGCATGGATTATGATATTGCATAAGTCATAGTGAAATAAATATAAATTAGAAGAAGCGTTTTTATACATAATATTTCTGGAAAGCTTATTTTGATTTCTTTACTAGTACATCCAGATTATTCATGTACTAGGCATGGCACCAAACTTGATAACTCAAAGGTGAAATAAACTTTTTTTAAAATGAGAATTTGAATTATGATTATTCTTAAGGTATTTTGGCGGCCAAGACATTCATTTCAGTTGGTTATTTTTTAAAAAATAAGAAATAAAAAGATAAATATGCGAGGTATGGATGTGTTAATAACCTAGATGGAAGGAATCCTTTAATAATGTACACGTTTATCAGATCACCATGGCGTCCACTTTAAATATCTTACAATTTTATTCGTAAGTGTATTTTAAGTAAGTAAAGTGCAAGACAGCTGAGTAACAGCTAAGGGGAAAACGAGACCAAGGCATGAAGTGGCATCAAAGAAGAGAACAAAGAATGGAGACAGGACTTGCGACGACTGAGCCAAGCGTAAGGGCAACGGAAGTCGCGGGTCAGGTGGCGACCGAGTTAGATCGTCCCGTGGAAAGTCTGGATGTCACTGAGGCGTGACTGGAAATATAACAGGTGACTCCTAGGTGCCTAGAAGATTCCCTCCTTCTCTGGGGCCGAGGGCCAAGGGCGGAGGTCCAGGTGGAGGGAAGCTGGGAATCAGGGAGGGAGCGACCGAGGGAGAAGAGCCAGCCGTGGTGACAGGACTAGGCTGAGGGAGCACAGGGGAAGCGGAAAAGTCCTTCCCAAGTAGGTAAAAGCTCTCCTGTTTTTTAGTCTTGTGCCTCTACTAACCTGCGTAAAATATGAAGCATAATAAAATCTCACATATGTGTATATGCAGTAAAGGAACTTCTCAAAATCTATAGAATGTACAACACAGAGTGAGCCCTAACATAAACTGTGGGCTTTAGTGAATAATCAGGTATCACTATTGGCTCATCGATTATAACAGATGTGCCACGTTAATGCGAGATGCAATAATAGGTTAACTCTAGCCTAGAGTTAAGAGCACAGATTCCAACTTCCGGGCTCAAATTCGGATTCTACAAGCCACACTGACTAGTTAGTTATGTGGCGACCGTGGACCAGTTACCCACCCGTCTGTGCCTTAAACCCTGGGTGAACGAGCCCAGTAAGTTCCTAGCTCCTGGCCTCTTATGAGAATCAAAGGGGATAGTGCAAGTCCACGTAGGGACTTTACACTTCCTGGCCCCCCAAAAGTGCTGAACGAGCAAGGCCCAGAAAGAACCACGAAACCCTCGGAGGTGATCGCTAAGTGGCGTGAAAGGCGGGGCTGCGGCTCCTTCACACGGCCCTGTCCACACGTCTCTCGGCCGCCGCAGCAGGGACCTGCGTGTCGCACGCACGTCCCTCCTCACCTTCTCCAGGCCCGTGGTGTCGTCGTCCACATCTTTGGGCAGCAGGATGAGCATGCTGAGGTGCTTGTTTTGGAAGGGGAGCTCTATGATCTTGCAGCCGATGCTGTCGATGTGGCCCAGGCAGAACGTGGCCTCCAGGCTCATCATCTGCACTGGCTTGGTGTCCGTCTGTAAAAGCAGAAGGAGTCTGAACGGCCTGCCTTGCAAGGAACGCAAGTGTATACATAGATGTCTGTGTGTACACATATAAGCACTTCCCCATGAGAGATGGCATGTGTTTTTTATAGATACACACATACACATATACATACACACATAGCTACGCACACACCTACACACACACATATATACATCAATTTGTTCTTGTTATAGTTCCATGAAATATCTCAAAGATTCCTTCTCTCTCTTTTTTTTTTTTTGTAGTCTGTGTCCTCTTGCTAAACATTTGCATAGTTACATTACAGTTTTGTAAACATAAAAACAGATTATCTCATGCCAAGCATGCATGCCCGGAGTTTGCACAATCTCAACACTTTTAAATGTTCTTTCTATTTAACAGGGGAGAGAGTAAACTAATTAGGCCTTTATATTTTTAGGTTAATGACACATAAATGTGTGTGTGTGTTTGTGTGTGTGTGTGTGTATGTGTGTATCCACCTTTGTCAGGATAGGCACCATACTAAACTTTTAATAATATAACTTCATCTATTCAGTCTGGCCTTTAAAGGAGACACCTCAGACATGAGGAAAGGTTTAGGAAAGTCACTCAGAAAGTTCAGGGGCTGACAAAAGCAATTCGAAGGAAACGAAGGAAAAGTAAAAGCCTCCACATTTGAAAGGCAGATGTAGATACTTTTCCAAAGAGGAAATACGGATGGCTGATAGACATACGAGAAGATGCTGACCAGTCACTAATCATCAGAGAAATGCAAATTAAAACCACAATGAGATATCACCTCACACCTGTCAGAATGGCTGTCATCAATAAATCAAAAAACAACGAGAGTTTGAGAGGATGCGGAGAAAAAGGAACCCTTATACATTGTTGGTGGGATTGCAAATTGGTGCACCCGCTATGGAAAATAGTCTAGAGGTTTCTCAAAAAATTAAAAATGGATCTATCCTTTGACCCGGGAATTGTACTTCTGGATATTTATCCAAAGAAAACCAAAACAATAATTCGTAACGATCCATGCACCCCAATATTCATGGCAGGACAATTTACAATAGCCAAGATATGCAAGCAACCTAAATGCCCATCAATAGATGGTTGGATAAAGAAATTATGGTTCATATATACAATGGAATATTATTCCACCATTAAAAAAAAATGAAATCCCACCACTCACAATGATATAGATGGACCTAGAGGTTATTATGCTAAGTGAAATAAGTCAGACAGAGAAAGATGGATACCGCATGATTTCACTTATATGCAGAATCCAAGGAACAAAAAGAACAAACTAATCAAAAACAGACTCACAAATATAGTGGACAATTTGGTGATGGACAGAGGGGAGGGGGTTGGGGGACTGGGAGAATGGGGTGAAAGGTTAAAGAAGTACAAATTAGTAGTTGATAGATGGTTACAGGGATGGGGAGCACAGCATAGGGAATGCAGTCAGCATTAACATATTGGCCAGAGGAGAGAAGGAACAATTAGGGGGAACGTTTTATAAACTATATAAATGTCTAACCATTGTACTGTATACTTGAAACTAATAATAAAATAAAATTTAAAAAGGCAGATGCATCTCCACGCAGCTTTGAGTCGGGTTTCATTGCTCTGCTAGGTGAGATTCCGAGAAAGCAATGACATTTCAAAGCCATGTTTAAAACCCGGGACCTGTGTGTGAAAAATATAGAGTCTAAAGAGTCTCGCGTTCTGTGCCTGGCATCTGAGACACGCCCCCGTGTGCCCGGTCGGCTCGGCCCCTGGCAGGCAGCTTCGGGAAGACCACAGGAGCCTGGAAGCTGAGCTGAGGAAGAGGAAGTTAAGGAAGACCTGCCCCTAGGACGCGTGGATATTTTGAGTTGGTAAGCAGCTCTCTTAGTGGAGACCGTCTTCTCCCAGTGAAAATGCCCAGTGAACCTTGTATAGAGACCCGTGGTGGGGCCAGAGGCCACTCAGGTTTTGTCTGCTATTGACTGTTCATTCAAACTGACCCTTAGGGACTAGTTCATCCATCCATTTGCTGAGCCAGGACCTGGGCCAGGAATTACACAGAAACAGAGCTGAATAAGGCATCAGCCCTACCTTTAAAAAGCCCATTCACACTTGGGATGGTGGGTGAGAGGGGTGGGGGAGTGATGAAAACAAAACTTTATGGGTACAGAGAAAAAGCGACGAAAGCCAGTCCAGCCAACTCGGGTGTAAATCGTATTTCGAAGGTTTTTTCTTTCTGGGCTCTGGCATTAAGAAGGTGCCATTATAATGTGTTTTCGGCACTAACACAAGTGATGGATGCTAGGTAGTCGAGGTGCTGGGAGAAATCTGAAAACTAGCATCACTGCGTGGTAAATCAGCGACCTTTAGATATCGTGCTCAGGAAGCACAGGTTTGAGTCTGCATTCTTAGCACGAGTCAGATCTCATCAGATGAGACCATATCACGTCACCACATAAACTCCTGGGGTTGCCTAGGTCTTCTAACAAAATGGGCCGATTTTCCGGTTTCAGTGCTTTGTCTTCCTTTATAGAAGGAGTATTTTGCCTATTGACATGAATTCTTCCTGATGTGGGCTGTGGCATCATTGCTCACCTCAATGAGTATTAACGAAACTTCAGGTTTCTAACTCTTCCCCCTAATGCCACTCAGCGCGGCAGCTGAGTAAGCTCTACTTTCTCCTTCGCCGGCAACAGGAACCTCGCAGCATCTTATCAATTAAAATATCAGCACCCTCGACTTTACTAGGAACAGATGAGAAACGGACCGCAGAGGAGTCGATTAGCCTGAAACAAGATTCTCAAACGGCCCAGGCTTCGGGATGGTCCAACAGCCTCTGATGCTGGCGTTTGGTGTGTTCCTCTCCTTTGCCTTTCTCGCTAACGGCCCCAAAGAAGTGTAGCCATTTTCTAGTGGATGATTTGGCTTTACTCACTGGGCTCTAAGTTCTATAAGCTGTCACTCAGCTTAGAGCCTGAGAACATTCTGGAGAAGAGCCAGAGTCTCTGGATTATGGTTCTTTTTTCTACTAGGAAAGGCACATGACTCCTTGTGCCTTAACTTCCCTCACTGAAATGAATTCCTACTGTCCCTTTGTTCTGTAATTTTTTATATCTATAGTTGGGACCCTTTGACACGCTGCCCCACATACCTTGTTGACTCGGAAAGGGCATTCTTTGGTTTCTGATTCGGGAAATTTCTTCATCCACTTTCCAACAAAGTAGGCAGCGTTAACCACAAGGATTTTGGTCTGGTCACTTACACTGCTGTCAGATAAAATGTTCTCAAAGTGGCCTGCAAACAATTTTAAGAAACCACAAATTGCACAAGAGTTATTCCTCCGACCCACATCTGCTGTTCACAGGCCCGTCTACTCGCTGGGTATTTAACTTGTTCGAGCCATGCCAGGTGGGGTTCGATGGCTCAGACCACCCCGTTTCAGAAGGACTCCTTTGTCTCCTGGCTCATCACAACCAGACTTACCAAAGACACCTGGGGAGAAGAATGAAGGGGGGAAGGAGAGGGAATAAGAGAGAGGAGGCAAAAAGAAAAACAAGCCACCACTTTCGAATACCCACTCTGTGCCAGACCGCATGCTAGACATTCAAATACACAATATCATGTGTTTCTCCCCCATTTTACAGGGGAAGAAGCTGAGACTGGGTGCGAAGTCACGTGCCCACGACAATACACAAGCAAGGTTGGGTTCAGGATTGAAAGCCTAAGCTCTGGAATGAAAAGGCATCCTTCCTGCACACCTGGCCCTGTGCTCGGCATTTTCACACGTAGCAGCTCACTTTTCTCACAATGATGTAAGTCAAAGACCATCAACCCCATTCTATCGCTGAGGAAGCCGAGGTTCAGAGAAGCCAAGTAGCTTTCTTGTTCGTGCAGCCGGAAAGCAGGTCTGACACCAGGACGGCGCCTCTTCACCCCATAGCTCTCCACCTTTTCCCCAAGTTGCAGAGCTGCAGGCAGCCTGTTTGCATCAGGCTCACCTGGAACCACCTCCATGGGCTCGATCACGACTATAATAACTAGAGACCTCCAATCCCCGACAGCCAAACCAGTTCAATGGTGATAATCCCTTAATAAAATTGAGTCCGCACGCTGGAATAGCTAGGACGTTTTTTTGCAAAAGGTTTTCATTTACCTAATCTCTTGCATCTTCATACCACTGCTCAGGCACCCCTTCACAGGTCTATGACCTGGGGGTGAAGGGCCCTGCAGTGGTTTAACGCCCTGCTGCAATCACCTTAAAATTAATACATTTAATAAAAGGCCCTGCATTTTCGTTTTGCATTGAGACCTGCAAATTATGTCACCGCTCCTGCCAGTGCTCTGGGACGCATCGAATATGTCACAGTGTTATCGAAGGCACTCGAAGACCTGAGAGGTGGGGGAGCTGGTAAGTGACAGAGTTTCAGCTTAAATCTCAGGCTCCTGATTCCAAAATCAGGGGTCTTTTCACTGAACCGCCTTCTCCAGCAAAAACCTTACTTTCATGAAGATTTTAAAACGAAAGCCCCTTGGAGAGAAAAATACAATTATTTAAAAATTCTAAAAGCAAAACAATTGCACAGCGATGTGAAAAGGAGCTGTTATTTGCTCATAATTTTTTAAATTGTGTTGAACCTGGTCTTAATTCCACTGGCTTTTTTTCTTTACATACAAAGGCAAAGAACCTTCATTTCAATAACAAATATATATGTATGTTGTCACTGGTGTGTGCGCACATGTCTATGGCTGCCACATATTATCTTGGCTATCGTACATTATCGATTAGCATATGTTATCTAAGTTGATCCTCACAACAACCATGTGAAAATTAAATTAGATGACACACATTTCATTTTACAGTTCTGCAAATTGAAACTAACTTATTCCGTTAATATGTGGCTGCATCTGCATTTGAATCTGAGATCTTGAATGACTCCAAGGCCACGTTCTTTTCATGCCGTCACTCTGCAGTTACAGCGTGGACTCTGTCTGCCACCCCGAGTTATCATCGCAAGAGGGCCATTCATACAGGAAGTGCGTCTCCCTTGTCCCAGAACTATATTCCTCCTCTCTAGACTGTGGTGACCGCAACAGTGCCTGAAAAATCCATCACTGCAGTTCATTCTTTCACAGTTAGGTGCTAAGTCTCAAGGGGTCCCTCCCTGTATAAATATACAAATGTTCCTGGGAAGGGGGACATGGACACTGATTTGCACTCCAGCTCATCTTAGCTCCAATTCATTTCTAGCAAGGCGGACAACTCACAGAGGATTTTAATGGAGGGACAGGTCAAGTGCTTCCTAAGGGAAGCGCCGAGAAAGAGGCTCAGGTAGATGCTGCAGAAGAGATGAGCACAGGGCTGACTGGGGACGGGAAGTTGTAGGACTGAGGACAAGTTTCCACCCACTATGGTTTGTTTTGTTTTGTTTTTCTACATGTATATTTGATTGCCTAAGACTCTCTGTCCTTTTTAGCTTCATGCTTGTAGAATTTTTTTCAGCTAAAAGTCTCCTCCGGGATCATTTGTAAATATAAATATACAAATGTTCCTGGGAAGGGGGACATGGACACTGATTTGCACTCCAGCTCATCTTAGCTCCAATTCATTCCTAGCAAGGCAGACAACTCACAGAGAATTTTAATGGAGGGACAGGTCAAGTGCTTCCAAACCCTTCTCTTCCAGATCGAAAAACTGGACTCGTGACTTGCCCAAATCCATACTTTCTTAGAGGCACAGCTGAGGCTCCAGGAAGGTGTGGGGCAGCTCATGGGAGAGCAAGGCAAATAGATGAAAATGGAAGCACCAGGAATTTCCGCCAAGTGATGAGATGATGGAGGAAAGGCCCAGAAACCCAAGTTGTGGAAATGGCTTGATGGATAAGAATTTAGCTTTCGTAGTGAAAACATCCCAGGAATCCTCCAGGGATTCGATTTTAGGCTTAGCAGAAAGATTCATGAGTAGGCAAGGTTTGTCTACTTAGCAATTTATAGCAGAATAAGTAAAGATACTTGCCGTCCGTGAGATCCTTAACCGAGTTGTTGATCTGACCTTTCGTTTCTTCCAGCTTATCTTTGAAGTCGACGGTTTCCATCTCCTTTGCATAGGGTCTCTTCGTAGAGCCGATGAACTCCTGAAACACATCGAGATCATAAAATCACAAAGTACTTACAGACCATAGTCAAGCCATCGCACTGTACACGGTTCCGACAAAGGACTTTTAAGTGTCTGTTACTATGAATACACTTTCAAAATCTGCACCATTCTGCAAATTGAAACTTCATGTAGATATCAATGAATTTTCTTTGTAGTAAATGTTTCATTTCCTCAATTCTAAGACAATATCAATTATTAAATGCATCCATCAATTTAGTCTCAGCTTTGGGAAAAAAGAAACATAGCTAAATGTATACAGCAATTATAATGTGGATCCCAATTTCAGAAACATAAAAACGTAAATATATACATTTAGTGTCTTAGAATAGAAGAAATAATACAGAAGAGAGAGCTGTATGAGCAGAAGACTCTTATTTTCACTGAAATAAATAAATATTCTATAGACTCTTGCTACTCAACATGTTGTCCAAAGACCGAGAGCTTCCACGTCGCCCGGGACCGTGCTGGAAATGCAGCATCTCAGCACCATCCCCCAGACTGACTGACTCAGAATGTGTATTTCAGCTAGATTCCAGGGAGACTCATCTGCACATGAAGTTTGAAACGCAACGCTGTAGAAAACACAGCAGTGATTCTAATGCTTGTTAAAAATGCAAAACCCTAAGTCCCATCTCTACTGATATTGATTCAAGTGATCTGAGGCCAGGAGTTTGTACTTCTAATAAACAGCCAGGTTATTCTGCTAGTTGAAATCATTCTAAATGTTGAATAGAAGTTCAACCAAACTAAACACAGTTGATTAAATGTCCAAACATAGGCTCCTTGAATTTCTTCAGAGGAGCTATATGGCCTTAGCCAATTCGATTCTGTTCATTGCAACCCAACCTTGGGATTGAGTGTGGCTGATGACTGAGAGAGCCAGGGCTACCTAGGAGCATCAGAGCCCCAGCACGATGAGAGGCCTCCACTGTCCTCACCACCAGCAACAAAATGTATTAAGCATCTCCTTAAAGACCACCTGGAGAGCTTTTTAATTTTTTTCACGCTCAGGACCCAACTCACATGTTAACTTTTTTTAATTCCCCAGGTAATCGTTGGAAGAAAAATGGCTGTGTATATGTGACTTCAAGCAACAAGAATAAATTCACAACACCTAGCGACCACTGTCCTCAAAAGATCTCAACCAAGAAAACAAATAGCTACTACAAAAAGTAATAAAATGATGGTAAATATATATAATTGGTAGTTTACCTGTTAGATTTGAAAAGTTTGAAATTCTGATCATCTCACATAAATTGAATCAACATAGAGAATGAACTTCTATGTAGTCTAGGATGTTGGCTATATATTTCAAATACAGATTTTTTTAAATACTATGATATATTCCAGGATCAAATTTAAGGGTACCACAGTGTTCTTTATATGATTCCTTCAAAAAATGGCTGAAATTAAACACCCAGAGCTACCTTGTAGAGACACCCATGTGACCAGCCTAGTAAAACAAACAAAACCAATCCAGGACTCATAAAAACTGTTAATTCGTTCCGTTATTATTTTTCTTATTGATTTTGAGAAACATCAGGAGACCACCATGTGCATAAACAATGAGGCAGAGAACTTAAGATGTATGTCCTGTGGTTTAAGGAGAAAGAGGTCTAAACAATGAGCTGTCTTGCGTCTATAAAAGATACATTTATTAGAGATTCCATTTTCCTCTTCTCTGAGAGAAGAAGCTAAGAGGAAGGGTAGGATTTACGCATGTTTGAGAGGGAAAAGGGAACTCTGCAAGCTTCTCTCTCTATTTTTTTTAATTATTATTATTTCATGCCTACAGCACCTGGTCTTCCTAGGTGGTCTCCCATCCAAGTACTAACCAGGCCCTACCCTGCTTAGCTTCCAAGATCAGACATCGGGCTTGTTCAGGGTGGCATGGCCATAGACCATGGACTGTGCTCCACTGGGGCATGAACCCAGGACCTTCTGCGTGTAAAGCAGACGTGCTAACCGCTGCACTATGGAACCACGTCCAAGCTTCTCTATATTTTGAGCTAGAAGATGTGACTGCAGTTGTTTCCCTGTAGATTCAACCTCTCCATTAGGACTAATTTATTTTAAGTAGCCTCAAACCATAAATAAGCATCCTCGAAATGAGTTTCACTGAAAAAAAGAAAGTTGTGAGTCTAACCACGTGACAAGGCCGCTCCTGGGAAAAAAAGTTAAATCTTGCTAATTGCTTTAAACCACTTACTGTGGAAGGATTCAGAGATTTGTCTACGTAGAGCCGTTTGACTAGCTTCAGTGAGTAGAAGGAACTAAGTTTGTTGATATCCGACGTCACTGTTTGAAATCCAAAGGGCACATCTTTGACATTTTCAAAGTGAAGGACCTGTGAAGAGAAAAAATCCATGACCCATGAAGCATCGCCTCTTCCCACTACAGCAGACACAGGGTAACTGCCAACCTCCACCGGAGGTAGAGTGTTTCCCTGCTCCACATCCCAGAATGCACTGCTGACATTTCAGACTGTAATTCTTTGCTGCAGGGGGCCACCCTGGGTAGTATAAGATGCTTAGCAGTATCCCTGACCTACTACTAGGTGTTGGTAGCACCCCTTCCCTATTTGTGACAAACAAAAATATCTCCAGACATTACCAAATGTCCCCGAGGAGGAGGTGGGGTCAAAACTGTCCCCATTAAGAAACACCGTCATAAAGATATTCTTCTCTGGATTTAAGTATAGGGAAAATTTGCCCTTTCTTCAAATGAGGCCTCTGTTGCTCACAGAGAAGGCCTTCAAAACTTGCACAAGAGTGAAGCTGGGTCGTAATTTCTATCCAATCAGAGACAAGAAGAGAGAGGCAATCATCAGTCAGGTCTCAGATTCGAGGGGACAGGTGTCTCTTGCTAGAGTCTATCTCGTCCCTTAAGTTGCTCTAAAGAGTGCCAAATGGGCTGACGAGTTATTTACGGTGGGTAGGCAGCCCTGGGGGCGCTAATCCTCTAAGCCACTGAAAACTCAGATGCCATCTTCCAGAGGGCTATATCCTTTTGTTTTGTTCCTAACTTTTCTTTCGTTCCGTGTGATACCCTTCCCAGCATCTCCTCTGCTTCATGGTGCCACAAAACATGATGTCAGTATGAGGTGATTCTCTCCTCACTCCTAACTCATAACCATGCCCAGATGCCACACCTCAGGAAACGTCACTAAATGGGCACATTGCACCAATGAGTCATACGGCCTCAGTATGGCAGGGTCACATTGGCTGGTGAAGGTGGTGTATGACTCTATGCCTAGGGACAGGTTAAAGAACCTTACTACTGGGGGAACGATGCAAGAACTGAAGAGACCGTGATTGTTATTGGTGAGGAACAGACCCACCACCCGGAAGTTCTCTTCTCTGTCCCTCCTCTACTGGGAGATGAGAAATATGGAATGGGAGACAGGGTAGGGTTGGGGGTAGGGGAGTGGGTGAGCAGGACAGATGAGAAGATACAGCTCCTCTACCCACAACTAAAGGTTCTTTTCCAAGTCCGTTCAATTTCAAGGTTAAATTCTTCACATACTATGACCCAAATAACATTTCCTTGGTCGGATTTTCCAAGGATTTATGGGTATAAGATGTACCCATTCTAAATGCTATGAGCTCATAGAAAGAAAGATTCTGTTGAACCTAGAATGATCAACATAAGAATAATAATGGAATAGAATTAGAAGGATATTGACAGACTACCTAAAAGTAAATGGAGGGAGTGGGGTGGGGAAAATGGGTGAAGAGTGTAAAAAGGTACAAACTTTGAGTTATAAAATAAATAAGTCATGTAATATAGTTAATAATACTGTACTGTCTATTTGAAAGTTAAGAGAGTAGATCTTAAAAGTTCTCATCATAGGAAAAAAAATCTGTAACTATACACAGGTACGGCTGTTTACTACACTTATTGTGGAGATCATTTCGCAATATATATAAATATCAAATCATTATGTCATATACCTGAAACAAATATAATGCTGTATGTCAATTATACCTCAATTTAAAAAAATAACAAAGCATGATGCAATTGTTTAAATACATTTTGTGCTTAAGACAGGAATGTAGACTTATACTCTTTCTGTCTGAGTATTTGCAATGGAACATTTAATAAACACCATTGTGATTGATCCTTACAATACAACATGTAGAAAATGCTGGGTACCTAGCCAAAGGTTGCTCATTAGATGTGGTTACTGAGCACATCCCTGGGCTCTCCATCACAACACGGCGCCTACTCTCAACGTGGGTTGCAGGACAGATAAATGAGCTTTGACAATTGATTAAGAGAATGCTAGACATGGCACAACTCTTAATCCTGAGCAATGCTGACCACAGAGCCCCGTTCGTTCCTCCCTAGGCTCTGCCTATTATTCTAATGACTCTATTCCCACTCAAAGCAGAAACGAGGTATGGGCTTACCTGTCCAATTTCATTTGCTGTGTCACCTTTAGTGCCCACTTGAGCAAGTGACAGGGAGGTAGAGAGACAGATTGGCGAGAAGAGGACATTGCCCGCTGGCTCCTTTTCACACAGTTGTTTGAACAGGTCGACTGCAAAAGCGGAATTCGCCAGTTGCAGGGCATCCATTGTGGGTCTGGAACAAAGGACAAGGGGGAGGTTACTTCTAAAGCATCTTTCAAGTGTTATTCAACTGCATTCTGCCAACCCAATGGGAATTCTACTTAAACGAAATAATGGTCTTAGGTAGGAGAAAGGAAGGAATTTTCAGTAAGCACAATTTTAAGAGCCAGTGGTAAAGAAACTTCTGAGCAAATGCCATAACGTCTGAATGATCCAGCATACGAGGTCCTCTGTGAGTACAGCTCTGCCAGGAATCTCCAAATTCAGGCCTCCTTGGCCACAATGGCCATTGTCAGTAGCCCGGTGATCAGATCATGCCTCTTCCTCAGCAAGCGGTCAGAATAGTTGACAGCACTGGTCATAATCAGTTGGTTTTATCTATGCATATTGTTTTCATTAGGATTTAGGATAAGCCATATAAAATTGAAATTGTGTAGATCGAAAACAGTCAAATCACAGCAGTTTTGAGTGATTCAGTTTAATATTTAGTAAGGATTATGGGTTGAATTTGTATCCCCTAAAAAAAAATGTTGAAGTCCCTTCCCCTTGTGCCTATGAATGTGACCTTATTTGAAAATAAGGTCTTTGCAGATGTAATCAAGTTGAGGTCATTACGGTGGCCTTAATCCAATATGTCCGGTGTCCTTATCAGGAAAAACAGGAGAAAAGACACAGGGCAAACACACAGAGAGGGAAGATGATGTGAAGACACACAGGGAGAAGGCCATGTGACAACAGAGGCAGAGGTTGGAGTGATGCTTCTACAGGCCGAGTAATGCCGAGGATCACTGGTAGCACCAGAAGCTCAGAGAAAGGCCTGGAACAGAGTATTCCCTAGAGCTTGCAGAGAGAGCGTGGCCCTGCCGACACCTTGATTTCAGACTTCTGGCCTCCAGAACTGTTGGGAAATAAATTTCTACTGTTTTAAGTTACCTAATTTGTGGTACTTTATTACAGCACCCCTAGGAGACCAATACAGTAAGCCGTACCTTAGTGGGGGTACCTGGCACATAGCAATATTAAATAAAAAGAAGTTGGTATTGCTTTCGATGTTAGTATATTATCTACTGTATGGAAGACACTACAAAGTGTTATAAGGATCAACTAAGTCCCTCCTTCTCTGAGTCTGCAATCTCTCTGGACCGGTATGTAGAAAATGAGCAGACTGCAGGGCTGCCCATGCCATAGGAGCAATGTAACAAGTAATGTGGATTTAAAGGAAAGAGAGGGAAGGCAGCTTCATCTAAAAATACGGAGCCAGGGAAAGCAGAGAGAGCAGCCAGTGGGCCTCCAGTCTCGGCTGAGAACACTCTTTTGCTAATGCAGAGGCTTTCTTAGAAGTGTCTTTTGATGCCTGGCAGTCCCTAAGACCCTTTTGGTGGATCCATGAGATGAAAATTATTTTCATAACAATAGTTAGACATTATTTGCCTCTTCACTCTCAACCTCTCAAATATACAGTGGAGTTTTCCAGAGGCCATATGACGTGTCTTGTATTAAGCCAAATATTAAAGAGATTTGCAGAAATGAAAAACAATACTACTCTTCTCCCTACATTTTTTACTTTAGAAAAGTTATTTCTTTATAAAAATGTTAATATGTAATGGTAACATTAGTATTTTGATGAATTAGTAAATAAATATTTCAAACTTTTTCCAATTTTAATTTCTAATTTGGTAAATACCAATCGATATAATCAACAAGAAAGAAAGAAAGAGAGAGAGAGAGAAAGAAGGAAGGAAGGAGGAAGGGAGGGAGGGAGGGAGGGAGGGAGGGAGGAAGGAACGAACGAACGAACGAACGAACGAACGAAAGAAAGGAAACTAGTCCTTTGTGATCCTCAGTAATTTGGAGAGTATAAAGAGTCCAGAGATTAAAAAGCTTCAGAACTGCTGTCTTAACGAAAGGTCCACCTGTCTATCTAGTCCAGTAGTTATTGATGAAGTTGGAAAGCGTCTGCATAAATCGAGCAGTCAGGGCTTAGCCTTTTCTAGAAGCCAATCGGAGCTGCATGGACTCTCCAGGCTCTGCCCGATGCCAGGACGGCATGTTTCTAAGGAACACAGGTATCACCACCCCTCGGTGACCAGTGCATAGCTGAAGGCTTCAAGCTTTCCCAAAAAACAGTCAAACACTTTTCAGTCATGCACACAGACGTGGAAAGCAAACATGACATTGAAGTTCACATGCTTCCTTGTGTCAAAGTATCACCGCTCAAGACAGAGGGCTGCCTTCAGCCAGAACCCAAGGATCTGTTAGAGTCAGATGCATGAATAGGATCTTAATTTTGCACCTGCTACTTGAACAGAAATTCAATATGCAAAGACATGAGAATAAGATCAAGGAATGGGCCCCCGGCCTTTGAATATGTTTTTCAGAATTCTCCCTTTTAAGGGACATATGGCTTGTGTGTGGGATGAACTCATAAGGTTACACTATACCTTAGATTCTGTAAAAGGAAATTCATTAGCAAAATACAAAAATGTTCAGTTGACTCGTTCTTGCTCACTGATCATCTCCAGTGATTCCCTCCTTCACTCTGTGTCCATGATAAGCACAGCTAAGTGACCTCAAGTCAGCGTTCTCATTACAAACCTATTACAAGAGAACCTGAAGTCGGGACGGGCATCTCACATTTCTCTAAAGCCGACAACCTTATTCTCTCTCCTGGTGGGATCAGGGGCCACGAGATGACAGCACATTCTCAGTCGAAGGGTCCAGCAGTGGGGATGCAGAGGGCAATGAGATGGAAAAGGAAGCGTGCAGTGTCTTCACCAGCATGTCCGCCATGAGGAATTAAAAGAAACTCGACAAAGGCTTTGGGGAATCCATGTGACAGACTTTCAAGACAAGATGTCTGGCTTTCTTCAGCAGTAAACTT